GTAGATGCTTTTCTGGAATTATCTTGCTTTTTCTATGATCCAACAGATATTGGTAATTTGATCTCTGGTTCCTCTACCTTTTTCTAAATATAGCTTGCACATCTGGAAGTTCTCAGTTCACGGACTGTTGAAGCCTGGCTTGGAGAATTTTGAGCATTACTTTGCTAGTGTGTGAAAAGAGTGCAATTGTGCAGTACTTTGAACATTCTTTGGCACTGCCAAAGAATGGATTCTAATTGCCTTTCAAATAGGTGTTCCTACCATCTGAGTGTGTGCAAGGACGTTCCTGCCTGCTATCTTTAGAGTAAAACAAATAAAGATGCCCATGTTCCTTCTCTTCCCTCCCTGCTGCCCTCTTCCCCAGGGGATGAGGATGCTCCAGTGAGCAGAGCAGTATCTTCTTGTCTAGAGACCAAATGACTGATGTTCAAGATTCACACATAACAACATCCTATAAGCGCAATCAGCAATAAAAATAAACACAAATTTTGTCCCTGTGGAATACCCACAGAGATGTAGGCTGCTTAAGTGGACTCATGAGAGGGAGGGAATATAAACAATTTGGATGATATTGACACTGTCAGTTACAGCTGAACTGAGATGATAGAACCCGTGTTGTGTCCACTGTACAACCATAATGTCCAGCACTTAGTAGGTGCTCCGTCAGCATTTGTGTTGATGGATGAAAACCAATGTGCTTTTCAGTCCTACTAAAGACAGGATCCCTTTCTAACTCAAAGGTCCCGGTGACCAGCAGGGAATCTTGGCCCAGAGGCCAGCAGTACCTAAAGGGATAGGCTGACAGGGACTCAGACTACTGAGCCATCAGAAGCCAGAGGACCCTGAGCACATGGGGGACACTGAGCTACATGTGAGGAGTTGAGCTGGCCCTGCCCAGGTGAGAGATGGGGCCCAGCAATCTGGACCTGTCTGGTACAGCACAGGCCTGGTCCCTCTGATCCCTCTCTGCCAAGGCATGAGCTGGGTTGGCACGTCATTGGTGAGGCCCTGCTGGAACCCCATGGGACTCGGGTATGCAGGGTGGGAGGGATATGAGGAAGGGGTCAGCAGAGATCAGTGTGGTCTGGAGGGGACCGGAGCTGGCGGCCCTGCTGAGGACATGCAGTGATGGGCAGGGGCGGAGAAGAAGGGGAGGCAGAGGAGACTGGAGGCAGAGTGGGCCCTGGGCTCTGAGCAGGGCAGAGCAGGACACCCTGCCTGGGTGAGATGGAGGGGTTTCTCAGGAGACCAGTCCTGTTCTGGGCCAGCTCCCCTGGCTGTAGGGGTTACAGGTCAGCTCAGGTAGCCCCCCTCCCCAGTAGGCAGGCCTCTGTCCTGGAGTTGCAGCCCAGGCTGTGCTGTTGGTGTCGGGGCCCCATGGTGTGACCCACTCCCTCCTGCCATGTACCCAGAGGAAGGAGTAAGGAGTTCACCCTGAGCCCCAGGACCAGAGAGGTTCATGTTTTCCCCTGATGGTGCTCAGCTTCAGCCCTTGCAGGAGGGCCGGCCCTGGAAGACAGGTGTGCATAAGCAGACCTGGGTGACAGCTTTGCATGGGGTTTAGGGGAAGAGATGGTGGGAGGGGGAAGAGGAGGAAGCAGAAAACAGCAGAATCCTCTCATTGATTTTCTAAGCAGACTAGATGCCCGTGAATAAGAGTTAGAGAATAAATAAGCAACCAGCCCTTCGAGCTCAGATGAGAGACATTTATTGAGTTATAGGCACACCCGCAGTGTGATTCTGGATCAGCCCCAGGGAAGATGGTCTGGTTCCTGCAGTCAGAGGCTTTTCATGGTTTTCTTTATCCAGGGCAGGAAACTTGAGAGTTTGGTGTAGGCCCGTGGAGTTGATCCATCTTTTCGTCCATAACAGGCAATGCCCTGGGCCACATTGCCACATATGAGAGGGCCCCCAGAGTCCCCCTGAGGACAGAGAAGGGGAAGGACTGAGTCTGCTCTCCTCCTGGTCCTGCCCTCTCTCCCACCCTGCCATTTCAAGACCCCTCTCGGGGCAGGCCACTTTGCAAGGCCTCCATGTGCGAGACAAGTGGGCAAGGCAGGTCTATGGGCCCCCCAGCTGCCAAGCCCTGACCTGGATATTGCCCCTGCTTCCCTGCCCCCAGGTCTCCATCCTCTCCCTCTCCAGATGCTGAGGGCTATTGGCTCCAGGCTGCTGTGAGAACAGGGAAGCAGGTGGGAAGGCTGACATTCATCAGGGAGGGGGAGTTTAGTAAGCAGGTGGGTTCCAGCTTTGAGCAGGCACCTGGACTGAACCACCTCCCACTCAGGAAGCCTGGTTTTCTAACTGTGCCTCAGTGCCTGGCAGGTTCCCCCTTCTGGAGGAGCACCAGGTTGGGATTCACCGCAGGTCTTGTGTGACTTGCAGAGGCTCTAGGCACTCCCAGCTCTGGCTGTTCCCCTTTTCCTCCTGGAGAGAGGTCCCAGCCTAGAGGGTGAGGTGGTCCCCCACTGCTTGGGTCCCCAGGTCCCAGATCTTCTGCCAACACCCTTCTCCCCAGATCCAAGCAAGGTAGGCTGTGATTCTCACCTGAAAGGAAGTTTTCTTTGTCTTTGGGTCCCCCACACACAGCTGGGTGGTGTGGTTGTAATAGTTGCCTAAGTGGGACTCACACTTTCGATCCTCCTGCACAATCAGCTTTACCTCCTGCAGTGTCTCAGGGTAGGTGGTCATGGAGTTCCTCCCCCAGCCGGCCACACTGCACACCTGTCCTGGCTTCACCCGGGCCATGGCCCTGGGCAGACTAAGGGGCTTCACAGCTGATGTCTGCTTGGCCTTTCTCTCCAGCTGATGGCAAGAGACAAGAGTCTGGCTCAGCTGGTGGTCCCCGAGCCTGGACACAGCAATGACGCTGACCTGTCTCCCCTCTTTCCTGAGCCACAGGGACTGGTCAGGTGGCCGGGATGGGAGGGAGGAAAGGGGTAGGTGGTCCTGGGAGGGGAAACGAGCTGATCCCAGGAGGACATGAGAAGCAGGGTGGTTTACCTTTAATAACATGATGTCGTTGGAGTGGTCCTTAGGATTATAGTCTGGGTGGGGGATGGCTCTTCTCACCCGGAAGACCTGCTGGGTCCTCTCCCGCTGTTTGATGTTGTGGGCCCCCAGGGTGATGCTCATTGAGCTGCACGGAGGGCAGAGCAGGAGATGGGGGTCACAGCCCCAGGGTTGACAGCCCTGGAGCCATGAAGGGCAGGTGACTCCAGGGCAAGGCTGCCACTGAGGGGAAATGCAGGTACCAGGAGAGCCCTGGGGGCTAAGCTGTCTGTACTGTCTGTCTCTTGTTCAGACAGCAGCCAAGGTCATATTCTGGAGCCATTGTGAAGGGCACAGCTATTCCCCATGGGCAGTTAGCCCTAGGAAAACGTGAAGTTGCATCAGTTTGCATTCTGATATCCAGGCGCGCCCTATGTCTAGTCTCTCTCACTTCAGCAATGCCTCAGGCAGTGACCTTCCCTCTTTCTCACCCTTTCACTCTCCACCTGCCCTCTTTCTTGCCTTCCCAGGAGCCCTCCTGTTAGCCCTCCTAACAGCTCCTGGAGAAAAAGGCAGGGCTCCCTTGCCAAGGGTGTTCAGAACGGTACCGGCTACCTGCTGCTCCTCACCTTCCGTTGCAGTGAGCAGCTGTCAGCACGAAGTCCTGTCGAACCAGGAACCCACCGCACTTCATCTTGTCATCCTGAATCTGGTACTGAAGATACGCCATGTAGGGGCGGGAGTGGGGCTTGGCTTCATGGCCCCCGATGATCTCCCCTGAAGGAAAAGGGCTGTTCTGCTTAGAGCACCCACCGAGTGTACCCTGTTGGCATCGGCTTCATGCTCAGAACAGCTGGGCACTGGGGAGTCCAGCCTGGAGTTGGTGGGGCAGGAGGAGGCTGGGAAGGGGGCTCCCCTTCCTCCTCTAAAGAAGAGTAGCTGTCTGGGTCTGCGAATCTGCCTCCCACACATAATTGGAGGTGAGCATAGAATCTGCCTGCAATGCAGGAGACTCAGGTTTGATATCTGGGCTGGGAAGATCCCCTGGAGAAAGGAATGGCAACCCACTCCAGTATTCTTGCCTGGAGAATTCCATGGACAGAGGAGACTGGTGGGCTACAGTCCTTGGGGTCACAGAGAGTCAGATAGGACTGAGCAACTAACACTTTCACTTTTCATACCTGTCCTAGGGATAGCAAAGTCCTAGAGGCTTCTGAAAATTCCTCGCCTACCTGTGCTTCATTCCAGGTGAGTTTCTAAGGGCCCCATTACCCTATTTTATTCAGGATAGCCCTGTTTTCCAGGGCACAGGAATTCAGAGTAGGGACCTAGATGTCACCATAGCCTCTTTCCCAGGTCCTGACTGGTAGTAAATGCCCAGTGAGTGTTTGTTGGCTGCATGAAGGAGTGACCATGATCCTCCTGCAGCCTCCCTGCTCACAGTGGGCCTCTGGATGGGGGCTGTTGGTAGGGCCAGTTCTGGTGGGCTTCTGGGAAGCAGGGCAGTTCAGGTCTACCAAACACTGGCTTCATCCTTGAAAGAGAGGAGCCCCTGATGGCCTGGGAAGGGAAGCCAAGTTGGGTAAAAGGCCTGTGGGTCCTGGAGATTGAGCAAACACAGAGGCACAGGTCTGCCAAGCAGATGCTGAGGGAACTAGAAGCAGAGGCCAGACCCACTCTGCCCTCTTCAGGGGCAATTTAGTATTTTCTTTTCTCCAGTTTGCAACTATCTGCCATCATTTCTGGGAAAGCTCCACTTTCCAGATGGCAAAGGTAGGGCTGGAGGAGGGGCTGGTACCCACTGGCTCCTCTTGAGAGCAGGCTTTGCTCTGTTGCTCCTGCTGGCGGTTTATCCAGCATCATACTCCCTGGTATGAGGTGGGATGGAAGCTGGTGTTCAGAATGTTCCCAGCTGGTGGATAGCTGGAGCAGGGACGTGCAGAATGGATGGGACCTCTGTGCCACCTGGGGGATGGGGTTGGGCCCCTAGGATGGGGATGGTCACTCACCTGCCTTTGCCCTGGGGGTCAGGAGAAAGGCCACCAGGAGCAGGAGTGGCTGCATCTTCCTAGAAAGACTGCCAAGGTCAGAGATGCTGGCACTTCCTCCTGGCTCTCTTTCAGATCCCCCAGCCTTTTGGAGAGAAACGCAGAGTTAGTGGACTCAGTGATCTCGTGTGCTCCCCTCCAGCTTTGCGATGCTTCATCCTAAAGGCTTTCTATGAAAGCTTACCCCGCCCCCACTCCATCTGCCTGATGACGTTCTCTGGGTGGTTGTGTGAGAAACATACAGTGACCACAACAGTACCCACAGATGGTGACTCAGAGCAGACCACTTGTTCCAGCCCAGAGCAGGAACCCAAGAGCACAAGGTGGGGACTGTAGGGTGTGGTATCGCCCAGAGGTAGTAGAGCCCAGAAACCAGAGTCCCCAGTGGTAGAACCACCAGGGCCTCATTTCCATGCTGCTGAGTCCACAGGATAATTTCTTGAGCAGATACGGGTTTAGGCTCTTCTCTATGTTATGACCAAACACACTGGAGCTGTGTCTCCTGCCCTTAGAGAGCTGACCATCTGCTGGGAGAGAAAGAAACATCCATGACCTGAGTGCAGTGTGGGAACGGCCATGGTCCAGGGGTGCACAGAGCTTGACTGCCACCTACTAAGTCCATGTAGTCATCCACTCGTCATCTCAAATTCCTTTCTAAGATATGTGCACCCGTGGCTGATTCATGTCAGTGTATGGCCAAACCACTACAATATTGTAAAGTAATTAGCCTCCAATTAAAATAAATTTTTTAAAAAACCACCATTTTAAAAAATTACAAATGCTCAGAGTGATCGAGTCCATTTCTCTTGTCCATGTTTTGCAAACAAATGGACTGCACTTGACATTTATTGGCCTAATTTAACAAATCACTATGACTCTAGAAACTGCATGTGCAGATTGATGTAAGCCTAGGTCATTTCTCCTTTGGGTAGGCTGTGGTGGGTTCCACCTAAACCACCTGAACTAAGACAGGGAAAGAGCTGGTTTGCCAAAGGAAGTTTGGATTACTAAGTTGCCTATGCCATGTGAAGTAGGAAAGCATGCTGGGTGACCAAAGACCAATAATGGTCCTTTGAGTATTGTCCGTGCTGTGTCCAGAGGGCCACGCTTCAGATTTAGCAGGCCAGGCACATTAGAGGCTCACACTGGCTGAACAAACTGCTGAAGACCTTGCTCTATGGAAATAAAGGATGGTTCTTTCTAAACAGTTCAAGCCCAGCCCTGTTCAAGAACAGAGAATCTCTGAGTGGTTAGAGTCTGGGGGTTTAAGTGTCTATCTAGACATATTCTGTACTTTACAGCTTTCTGAGGAATATTATGCATCAAAAGACGTAATTCCAGGGTAAATATCCTCCTTATCAAACCAAATATATTTATCAAACCTTTACTTTTTTGAACTTAGTTTGACTATCAGTAGAAATTTTTAAAATAAAATTAGCTTTGCTATTTTTGTGTAGTATATGTTCATTAAGAAAATTTGGAAAGTATAAAGGAAAAATATTACTCATTTGATATGTCTCACAGATAGATTATTATCATAGGCAGTGCATTTAAAATACTTGGGATGATATTAGGAAGTGTTAGGAAGTGTTCCTCCTTCTTTAATTTTTTGGAACAAGTCTGGGTAAGACTAGTGTTAATTCTTCTTTAAATGTTTTATGGAATTCACCAGGGTAGCCTGGGATTTTCTTTGTGAGAAGGTTTTTGATTTTTGATTCAATCTCTTTATTGTCATAAGTCTGATTAGATTTCCTATTTATTTTTGAATCAGCTTTGGTTATTTCTGTATTTCCAGGGAGTTGTTCATTTCATCTTGATTTTATCTAATTTGTTGGTGTACAAACATTGATAGTATTCTCTAACAATCCTTTTAATTTCTCTTAGGCTGGTCATAATGTCCCCTTTTTTTAATTTCTTAGTAACGTGAATCTTCTCTCTCTCTTTTTTTGTTGGTCTAGCTAAAAGTTTATCAATTCTATTGATCTTTTCAAAGAACCAATTTTGGTTTGTTGATTTTATTTTGATTATTTGGCTCTAATCTTTAGTATTTCCTTCTATCTGCTGGCTCCAGTTGTTTGATCTATTTTTAGTTTTGTTAGGCTTAAAGTTGTGCTGTTAGTTATAAATGCTTCTTCTTCTTTAATGTCCTCATTTATAGTTATATATTTTCCACTGAACATTACTTTTACAGCATCCTATACATTTGGTATGTTGCATTTTCATTTTCACTTGTTTCAAAGTACTTTCTAACTTTTCTTATAATTTCTTCTTAGGCCCACTGGTTACTTAAGATTGTGTTGTTTAATTTCCATATATTTCTATGTTTGTGAATTTTCCAGTTTTCCTTTTGCTATTCATTTCTAGCTTCCTTCCATTGTGGTTTAAAAAGATAATTTGTATCATTTCAGCCTTTTAAAATGTATTGAGAAATGTTTTATGGCCTAACCTATGGTTTATCCTAGGGAATTCTTCATATGCCCTTGAGAAGTATGTATAGTATAATTGGTTTATAGGTGTACTATTTACTACTGAAAGTAAGGTATTGAGGTCTCCAACTATTTTTATAAAACTGTTTCTCTCCTCAATTCTCTCAATGTTGCTTCATATATTTTGGAGTTCTGATGTTTGGGTGTTATGTCTCCTTAATTGATCTTTTATCAATATATAATGTCCTTTGTCTCTTTTAACAATTTTTCACTTAAAATCTATTTTATCTAGTATTGGTATAACCATTCCAATTTCCTCTTGATTACTATTTACATAGCATATCTTTTTCCATTGTTTCATTTTCAACCATTTTGTCTTTGGATCTAAAGGGAGTCTGTTGCAAGCTACATAGAGTTAGATCATATTTTTAAATAAATTCATTCTTCCAATCTGTCTTTTAATTGGTTAGTTTAATCCACTTACAATTGAAGTGATTGCTGATAATGAGGGACCTGATGAGGGACTTACTTTTGCCATTTTGCTATTTGGTTTTTATATGTTTTATGTATTTTCTGTTTCTCTTCAAAATTGCCTTCTATTGTGTTTGATCACTTTTTTCCCTAGTGTGCTATTTTGAATCCCTCTTCATTTCCTGTTCTGTATATTTTAAAGTTACTTTCTAAAAAAAATAATAATAAAATTACTTTATTAATGGTTACCATGGTTAATGCCCTAAATTTATAACAATATACTCTGAATACAGATCAATTTAGCCTCAACATTGTACATTAATTCTGCTCCTATTTAGTTCCATTGCCCACCTTGTTATTGTCGCAAATGACACCTTTATACATGTGTGTCCATTAACATAGGTTATAATTATTGTCTTATGCTTTTGTCTTTTAAACCATATGAGAAACAAAAAGAAGTTACAAGCCCAAAATACAAATACTACTAGATTTTACAATTATCTATGGGGTTATTTTGACCAGAGATTTTTTTTTCTCCATTCAGCCTCAAGTTGCCATCTGGTGTCTTTCTGCTTCAACTTAAAGGGTCCCCCTTAGCATTTCTAGTAGGGCAGGTCTGTCTGCATGCTGCACTGCACTCTGTCACTTCAGCTGTGTCCGACTCTGTGACCCCGTGGACTGTAGCTCCCAGTCTCTTCTGTCCATGGGATTCTCCAGGAAAGAATACTGGAGTGGGTTGCCATGCCCTCCTCCAGGGGATCTTCCCAACCCAGGGATCAAACCTTCAAGTCCTGTGTCTTCTGCATTTCAGGTGAATTCTCTTCTGCTGAGCTGCCAGGGAAGCCCAGGACAGGTCTACAGGGCAGTAACAATGATTAATTCCCCTAGCTATTGTTTATCTGGGAACATCTGTATTTCTTCATGTTTGGAGGGCAGCTTTCCCAGATATATAATTTTTTGTTGCCAGATCTTTTTCTTTCGGCACTTTAAATGTGTCATCCCACTGTTTCTATGGTTGCTGATGAGAAATTGGGCATTAATAGCATTGAAAAATCACTTGTCCATAAGTCATCACTTCTGTCTTGCTGCTTTCTAGATCTTGTCTTTGGCTCTTGACAGTTTGGTTGTAGTGTGTCTAGTGTGGATCTCTTTGAGACTACTCTACTTGTAGTTTGTTGGGCTTCTTTGTTATCTATGTTCCTATGTTTCATCAAATTTGGGATATTTTTAGCCATTATTTCTTCAAGTATTTTTTTCTGACCCTTCTTTCTTCTCCTTTTGTGACTCCCTTAATGAATATGTTAGTACATTTAATAGTATCTCATAGATCCCTTAAACTCTATTCATTTTTCTTCATTCTTTTTTCCCTTCTGCTCCTCGAACTGAGTTATTTTATTTTCCCTCCAAGTTCCCTCCTAGCTTCGATTTGAACTTTCCCTCCAAGTTCACTGATTCCTCTGCCTAGTCACATCTACTGTTGAAATTCTCTACTGAAATTTTTGTGTCAGTTATTGTGCTTTTCAGTTCCAGAATTTTAATTTATATCTCCTTATAGACATTCTCTAGATTTGCATATATTTTTCTGATTTACTTTACTTCCTTTCATGGTTCCTTCAGCTCTTTGAGTATTTTTTTTCTTCTTTGAGTATTTTTAAGACAGTCAATTTAAAATCTTTTTCTGATATAAACAGTGTCTCTGTGTTCAGTCGCCAAGTTGTATCTGACTGTTTGTGATCCCACAGGCTATGGCACGAGGCCTCCCTCTCCGTCACCATCTCCCGGAATTTGCCCAAGTTCATGTCCATTGAATACAATGCTATTCAACCATCTCATCCTCTGTTGCCTTCTTCTCCTTCTCCTTTCAATCTTTCCCAGTATCAGGGTCTTTTCATCAGGCTGTTTGCATCAGGTGGCCAAAGTATTGGAGCTTCAGCTTCAGTATCAATCCTTCCAATGAATATTCAGGGTTGATTTCCTTTAGGATTGACTGGTTTGATTTTGTTGCTGTCCAAGGGACTCAAAAGAGTCTTCTCCAGCACCACAGTTTGGAAGCATCAATTCTTCGGCTCTCTGCCTTCTTTATGGTCCAATTCGCATATCCGTACGTGACTATTGGAAA